AAGCACCACTGAACGACACTGGAAATCTTTCCTGCCTGTGGCCATCTCCCTGTACAACGCATCCACTTAACACACTGTTTGCTGCTATAACTACACATGTTTCTTTTTCAGCTATTTATTTATGAGTGACTTATGTATGTATATATATGTATATATTGTACTATTCTTAGTTAGTGTATTGTCTGTCTTGTCTTAATGTTGGTTTATAATGGAGTACTGTAACAAAAAATAATTTCCCCCAGGGATCAATAAAGTATTCTGATTCTGATTCTGATTTGGCAACCTTGTTTTTATGCAGCAATATAACCAGAACACAAACATGTGGCAACAAGGTGAGTCGAGTCCCTTATTGTAAAGAGATGCATCACAATCTGTTGGCGTTTATAAGTTAGACACAAATAATTGCTCTGTTAGACCAGAGACTGTTTGGAGACAGGTTGCCCTCCAACCTGTGCAATCACCTTGCGATCAAACTACTGAGCACACAACACCCTACTTGCAATCAGTCCTTGACAGCAAGAAAATCCAGTGTAATCACCTAGAAACCACAGATTTATTTATTTATTTTTACTTTAGTGAGATTGAGCCATAAACCAGAGTAGCAAGTGGCTTCACATACATACAGTCAGCAAATGATCTCCTAGCAACCCCAGACTGATCAATCTGAGCACATTTGTTGTTGTTTGCATTTTATGAATCACACACTTGGCCTTGAGTCCTCTGACAAGGAGCTGATGACATTTTCTAGGATCTGATAAATACCCAGTGTTCATGCTATGGTATCATTCAATCTTTCAATACCTTCAGTAATTTAATAACTTATAGGGGCTTAAAAAATGTAAAAGTTTCCCCACTGTGAAGACACTTGATGACATTTGATGCTGTGAGAAATACAGATGTAGTGAATTTATGAGACCAGTCTGAATAATGTAGAAAAATGAGGACAGAACCACCTCCAGTTTGCATCACTGTCAGAAAACAAGCAAAGACCAATGTGGCACAGAGGCTAGCAGCAAGAAATATCAGAATATTTTTTGTCAGGTAGTTCAGTTGTGTTGCTCTTGTCCATTTGATGCCCATTGATTCACCATCAGCAGTGACAGCTTTTGTTCATGACTCGAGGACGCAACAGTTCACGGCTTGACAGCTGCAAAACAACTTGCTGACACATTAGAGAAAATAAACGGGTAGCCTGTGATTAACAAAGCAGTCAGTGTATTTAATGCAGAGCGAACGACAAGATATGAAGATATGAGTGAGTGAAAAAGCCTCAAATTTACATAAAGAGTAAACGCTGTGTGACATAAATGCACTTAATGCTAAAATACATAAATAAAATCAACCTTTACAGTGATTGGGGGGGGGGACACAATCACAGGAATCAAGAGTTTAGTCCATTGCTAGCAAAAGGCTGCCACCACACGGTGCATGTTAGTACTGCATGTTTTTAATCAACAGCTTGTCATGATGATGTGAAAATGAACGTTTTTTTTCTATCAAAGCAGATACATTATAAATCTAGCGTGCCAGAAACCAGATGTATGAGTGCATTTTTCCACTGTACTGCATTGTTTTCACAACACACTTCCATGAAACAAAACAAAAGACTTCTGTTTCTTCACAGTTACTGACTGAGCCCTTCAAGATCATGTGGGTTATGGAACGATATGCCCTTGTAATAACCTGGAACTCCTCCCAGCTTCTTATGAAGGATGCATAAATAAGACTCCCTACATGTCTGAGCATGAGTTCACACTCTTCTAATGACTCACACAGGGCAGGAAATCATTGCTGATTGTGGTTAGCAACATTCAAACATGACCGCAGACAGGAAGATCACACAGCAGCTGTTTTGCCAGATAGGAGTGGCTCGATCCACGACATTCTTGCGTAGCATGCTACTAACAGTACTATAGACATGCAATGCAGTAAGTATACAGTCATGTTTGTTTCTGTTTCAGGTGTTGTTCAAAGAAACCATTAGAAGTGTTGGAGGGAGTCTTTTGGATCTGACAGTGGATGCAGATTATCAGCTCTTTCGTTGTTATCAAAGTTGGCTCATCACATGTGGCGATCACCACTCTGCTCTGAATTCAAACTGTGAACATATTTCAACCAGGCTAGAACTGATGCAGGACGCAACAGTTTTAAACAGAAGCCACACCTCAAAGTTCATTTAGCAACTTTTCTGTGGTTTTCGGTCTTCTCAGGATCAAGAGTCAACTCTGGGTATCAGGTTTTTGTAACAACATCGACAAGAAAGTCCTTAAAGAGCAAAAGAAAAAAACCCAAAACTGTTTGGGAATCATTCTGGTTCTATTTAAAAAGTGTAATGTGAAATATAAATGAAGGCTACGGTACTAGTGTTAAATTGAGAGGTTGTTCTGGTCCTTTTAAGTCAACATGACTAGACAGTTACAAGAAACTGGAAAAAGACGTGACCGCTGTAAACATGTAACACATATTTCTACAGGTCAGCCTGACATGTATTCATTGTTGACGAGTAATTAACTACATGTGCTTAAATCAGTTTGGCAGTAACTTACTGTCAGGTAAACTATGTTTATGTCTGTGAAGTGTTTCAAGTAATTGAGTTACTTTACAGAGCTACAGAAACTGACTGAACCAAAATGATATGACCCCGTAAATGCATTATGACATTGTGAAAAGCACAGATGATTTTTTTTTCTTTGAGACCAGTTCAGATCTCAGGAGTCTTCCAAGAATCTGTCTCTTCCTCTTGTACTGTTCTGACCATCTCTCTCACGCACACTCTGGAAACAAACAAACTTAAAGTAGATCCTGTGTCAAAGGATCAATTTGTATATATGAGTTTTTGAGTCATTTCTGCAAATATGGTATTTCTGTCTAATTTATGCTCAAGATTTGTTAATCTCAAACAAGCGATAACACATATTTGGGTCAGGGTTAAAAACAAAATTGCACTGATGATGTAGAGGTCTCCAAAACTCATGAATAAAATATGATACACTTGGCGTTTCAGTGTTAACTAACTAGCTGCTTACCTGAATAAAAATTCTGCTTTTGAGACAATTTCGGAAGACTAATCTTTATTAAATAACAAGCTAGAGTTGAATATTCTGCTTCTGAAGAAATCCTGTCTTCGTAACTGCTTTAGCAACTAAACTCTGACGCAGTGTTCAGTGAACATTCAGTTAAAAACAAGATCTTTTGTCTATTTTTGTTATGAGATCACGAGTTGCTCATTAAAACCTTCTGAAACTGTATTAGGTGTGTCCTGCCTCTGACTCCTTTTCATGAACTGTGACAGACACTAACTGTTCAGAGAAGTTGGACCATGTTATTTAAGAAGCTGAGCAACCCCAGTTGGTGTAATGTCCCTGCATAGACCTTGATATTCCTCCCACCAATCCTTTGAATAGCGTTTTGTATGAACATGAGGGGAATTCCAGTAGAAAAATCACCTGATGTTGGATTTTCGTGACCGCTTCTCCTGGTCACGGTTGTGGGGAGCTGGAGCCTATCCCAGCTGTCACAGGTCTACACACTGTGCACAATTATTAGACAAGTGAGTATTTTGCACATATCTTTTGACAATTTTTATGCATATTTTCATACTCTAAGCTTTCATACTCTAAACATGAACACTTATTAGATTTAAGCACATCAGGTGATGTGTGTTTGTGCAATGACGGAGAGTACTGCCTAAGGAGACAACACCTCATATCAAGGGGTGCATAATTATTAGGTGGCTTCTTTTTCTCAGACAAAATGGACTTTAAAAAAAGAAAAGAGGAAGATTTAACTGACAGTAAAATGGCAAAAAATGTCAGAAGTCTTTTAGAAGGATGCAGCACTCCTGAAAGTGCAAAGATATTGGGGTGCGATGACAGAACCATCAAACATTTTGGTGCAAACAGTCAACAGAATTGCAAGAAACACCCAAGTTTTGAGAACAATCAAACGTGAAGCTATCATATTCCAGAATTAGACCCTACCTGGAGTGGTAGATTCAGTGCTCACAGATATGGCCAAGACAAGGAAGGCTAAAACACAATCACCACTGAACAAGACACAAGGAACACAGCACATGGCTCTAAACAGTGTCTGGGAGGCTGTTGCTGCTGTGGCACAAAAAGGTTGATTTTCAATAGATGGACTTATCAGTTTGTTGATCTATCATATCATTCTTCTTCTTCTTATTATTATTATTATTATTTTATTTATTTATTTATTTATTTATTTATTTATTTATTTATTTATTTATTTATTTATTTGCATTTTTGGGTTTATTATAGCGAAGAAGACATGTAGCAAAGGGCCACTGCTTTCTGGCCATGTGGCATGTGGTCGCCTGCCCACCCACAAATAATTTACATTATTTGTAAATTTAGAGTTGTTTGTTTTTATTATTCTCACTTTAACTAATGAAAATAAACAACTGAGATGGGGTATCCATGTTGGATTTTAATTAACATTTTGAAATGACCAAATGAAATGCAGATGTTCAGAGTAAAGTTAATCCTCAGAAATACAGCTTGCCTAATAATTGTGCACACAGCCATTTACTCCCAGTTTGAAGTAGGTTATTTTAAACTTTTTCCTGAAAGTAACTTAAAGCAGATTTCTCTCTAGAGCTGATTAACTCAGGTTCCTAAAGTGGGATGTTGCTGGTAGTTTAACACAATAAATGTTATGCTCATGATTATGGAAATATTTAAAATTAGGCTGGGTGTGCAACTATGTTCTGAAGGCTGCTCTGGTTGCAACAGGTGGGTTTATACATGTGGATCCATCCACCTGTGCAAAGGGCAGATGTACAGTAGTATTCAAAAGTAAAGAAAGCCTGTCTGGAAATACATTTAAAAAATCGTTACAGTATGTGAAGGCTACTTGTCTATTTTTTTTCTTACTCTGCACATGGCAAACCCTCACACGCGGCCTCTGAATATGTAAAACTGGTTATTTAAAGTGCACCCTGTTGTTCCTAAGAGTGTGTCGTCATCGAGACGATCGTTGCGGAAGTGGCATGCGCTGTTTGCAGAGGATGAAACCTGCTTGGCGAGCACGCAGGGGGGAAAGAGCCGTCAGATGAGCAGGCTCTGTCACAGAAACACACAGGTGGATATGGATCATCTGGAAGCACGAAATCCGCTTTGAATCACTCTTGAGTTCATGTGAGACTCCTCTGTGCTCCCTTTAAGAGCGGGCTGACCAGGGAAGATCTTTTTTGGAGCAATGGGTGCACTACAGTCCTCACCTGGACGGCCAGAATATAGTGATCTGGCGGAAAAGACGGGCTGTGAGTAGTCATCACCGGGCTGTTGTTTGCATTACTTGAAAATGCTTCATTTTCAATCAGACGTGTAGAATCAGCCTGCGTAAAAAAATGCAAAACAAAAACAGGAACTCACTGCGGCGGAAATAACATTTTAATTAATTCTTACTTTAAGGCAGTCTTAAAGGGGAAATACGTCCATGTCAACGTAATGCTCAACATTTGGTGTTTCCATTCAGTTACCTGTTAGTCATCACTGTGTATAAGATAAACCAGTAGTTGTGGTGCATTACAGATGAATAATTTAAAGTGCAAGTGAATGGAAGTGGAACTTTACCCGGTTTGCAAAGAGAGGTGTTGTTAATAATAGATCGGACTCTATTGAAAGCTTTGACAGCAGCCATTTACAGTAAACACCCAAAAGCTGAAACTCCAGTTTTCTACTTTTCTAAATGACCTTATGGTTTCACCTGTATGTTCTAAACAGGTGAGTGTGAGAGATGAGAGGCAAACCAGACTGTTTTACATGAAACGTGAATATCCAAATTAGCTGCCTTGAAAGCTGAAAGTGGACAGCGGAACTGGCATTTTAGTGGAACTTAATCTTGGTGTGCAATCTTTACAGGTAGTTTGTCCTAAAGTTTCCGTCTTATTTCTCAGTTTCATTTGAACAGATTGGAGTTCTGCATAAAAGATTTAAGCAGCTGAGTCACAATGAAGAGACTCTACGGTAAGCTGATATTTCATTTGTTCTTGAAACAAATATTCTTTGGAGCGGGAAACCTGCTCTACAGGATTCTACGATTGTGTCTCTTATGAATGAGCTACTCCTGAAAGTCTATTTTAAACCCTCAGGAGAGATAATTTCAATGAAATCAACGACCTAGCGTTAAATCCCATCCGCACACAGATCATAGAGGCGTTTTTTGACAGAAGGTACAGTAATTAACCATTGCCTTTAATCATTTTACTAGTATTTTTCAAAATCATAAACAATTCTTACATTTAGGATGAAAAATGATGGAAGAAATTGTAGATTTAATGTATCAGTTGTTGTCAGTGCATTTGAGAGCATCTGATTTGCTGTTTTCTTCAGAAACTTCCATCAGAATGGCGAGGGAAAAGTTCAGGAGATTGGCTTTGAAGAGTTCGTGGTGGTCATGTCCCATTTTAGGCCGCCATCGGCGCACATGACAGAAGAGCAGCGTGGAAAGACCAGGAGAGAGAAACTGAGATGTACGTCTCAGTATAGATCGCATGAACTCGACTGCTTGACTTTTACCTGAAGATGACACAAAGTCAAACCTGCGTTTGTTTGTTTTTCTGCAGTTTTATTCAACATGCACGATACAGACAACGATGGGATAATAACTCTAGAGGAATACAGACATGTAAGCTCGGGGGAAGAAATGATCGTGCACAGTCACCTTAAGTTTATGATCATTCTCAACTGAGTTTTTAAGCTGTTTAAAAATACTGACTGTAAAAGTAAATTATCTTTGTGTTTTACATGTAACTCTAGTGCTGGGGTTATTAGCTCAATTTCCTCCAACGCAACTGATTGGCTGCCAGTAACAGACAGGATGATGCGATTACAGCATTACAGAAGTGATATCGTACTTCAGCTGTTGTTCACATCTGTTCAGGTGGTGGAGGAGCTGTTATCTCGGAGTGGGACACTGGAGAAGGAAACAGCCAAATGCATTGCTGATGCAGCCATGTTGGAGGTGGCCAGTATTTCAGTGGGTCACATGGTATGTAAGCTAAAGCATCTCAAGATAACATTAAGGTGTCTGGATAAAGTCAACAACTTCACTTTCTGGCACACAGGAGCCTGATGAATTCTATGAGGGCATCACATTTGAGCACTTCCTCAAGGTTTGTACACATAATGCACATTATTAAACAATATGCACTCGTTGGTCACTTTGTTAGGTACACTTTGCTAGTTTTCTGTTTAGTTTGCCTTAAGGATGGCCTTAACTCTTTGTACAGGCCATCTGAGTACAGTGAACTTATTGTCACGTTCAGGAAACCAGTCTGAAAAGAACTGAAAGATGGGTACACCGTGGTAGATATGGTCAGCAACAATACTAAGGGGCTCTGTGGTGCTTAAATGTTACTCAGCTGCGATGAAGGGAACTAAAATGTGCCAAGAAAATACCCACAACAACATTATTCCACCGTCAGAGGCTTGAACTGTCGGTACGAGGCACTTCATGTTATTGATACCAAATTTTGACCTCACCATCTAAATGTCATGGACAAAATCTAGGCTTATCAGACCGGGCGACGCTTTTCCAGTCCTTTGTCTGGTTTTTGGTGAACCCATGCAATCTGTAGACCATATCTACATGCCTAAAAGCACCGAGGTGCTGCCATAGTTATTACGAGCATTTGATCAGGTGTGCCTTAAAAAAGTGGCTGATGAGTATATGTGTACGCTTTAACTTTCTTTTAACTGATCAGTTTGCATTTAAATTGGAAACTGGTACTAAATAACTGAGGTTTGAATGTAAAACTGTGTTTTGCAGTTGCTGGAAAGATTTGAAATTGAATCGAAAATGACCATTCGCTTTTTGAATATGGACACGACAACCTTGTGTAAGTGATGTCGGTATGCTGAACCATGAGCTGCAAAATGACGTTTTCACTGTATTGTCTGTTTAAGTTTATTGCTCGCACTGAATATAAGCCTTATTCATGTTTGAATAACTATGCAAATCCTAAGACTATATATATACACATGCTGGATGTATTTGAAGTAATCTGACTGTTAGCAATACTTGAGATAATTACTACGCACTTCTAGCAGTTGGACAAAGCAATATTAATCAAATATCCAGTGCTAGCTAACCAACAATATGACTCTATGCATGCAAGTATGGATGCTTGATAAACATCTAAAAATGTTATTGCCATAAATCAATAAGTCTCAGTAGTCAGGGATATAAAGATCTGTCTTTAAATGTATCTGGATATGTCTCTATTAAGACAACAGCCTTTTATTAATGTCACAAACATGAACCTTCTTGGTGCATGCTCTTCATGTTGTATTTGCACAATAAATGACCTGATGAAACTGTCCTGACTTCAGTTCATGATGTGGATACTTGATAACAGGAAATGGGAGTGCTGTTCTGCATGAATAAATGCTTCACGGAAGAATCGGTTTAACATTTAAGAAGAAATTCATGATGTGAATTTCATTTAAGTCAAACCCCTTTTCATGTCAATTCTGCTTCGTCATGCAGAGGTCATTACTCCCTTTTATGGTAACTGGCTGTAGAGGGAAACAGTCTGGTTACATTAAATGTTGGAACTAAAGTGATCACAGGATTTCTCAGAAAAGTCAACGTACCCTGAGAATGGATGACTCATAGAAATGGTTTTCATTAATTGCTTTGTCTGTGGTATAGAATTTCCTTCCGATACTTATACTTGGCAACTTCTCTTTAATGATGAAAAGACGTCACAACACAAGGTTAGTCAGAGATCAAAGAGAAACCTTGTTTGGTGTCTGTAAGCTAACGGGCTTCGTGTGAGACTGTGACGTTCTGATGTACAAAAGCATCATTTTACAGCTTTACTCATTAACGAGGAACTTAAAATCGGGGAATAAAATCTTACGTTTGCAATCCTAGAAAGCAAGACTTAAAAAAAAATGGCTGGCAACTTAGGAAAGTGGAACGCATAAAATAGGAAGTCAGATTTTTCCTGGTGGCTGAGTGTTTACAGTATAAACCACATACAATAACCAAAGTATCCCTATTTTAAGTGTGGCTGAAAAATGACCTCTTTTGATTTTTCTCATCCTGTTTTCTCCCCATGTGTCTGTAGCTCTACTGTCACAACACCAAATGGGCTTAAAATATGAAAAATAACTGAAATACCTTTAAAAAAACAACAACCCTAGTTTGTTAACATGAATGGATGTTAGTCTTAGAAATGTTTTTTGCAGTGGTGCATCATGACTTTAAATAATGACTTGAACCCCTGGTCCATACTGCCCCCCACAGGTCAAACCATGTCAAAGCATATAAAATGATCATGGCCATGCACCTGCTTCTCTTGTGGTAACTTGTGTCTTCATCTATAGAAGATGCTTCAGATAATAAAACTTTATCATTACTCGTGTAGATTCACTGATCTGCCACAGAAGCATATGTCACTGTGCAACTTTGGCCTTTAACTTCACAAAGCTGCACTTGTGATGATACTTGTCGCTTCTGTTTGGTGACGTCTAATTTAAGAAGGCTTCGGTGTTTTAGTGGTCCCACATTGTCGTGACCATGTCTGCTGAGCATGACCTGTGTGTCAGTGAAATAACAGACACTACTGATTTCCACCCAGTAGGCAGTAGTCGTGGGTTAATCAGGGGGGGATTCAAGAGATATTTTCGGAACAACTTGACTACAATGTAGACTGGAGAATGACTGTTGCCCTGAGGTACCCTCTGTGTTTGTGCCTTAAATAAGCCAGAGTTATAAGAGGGAACTTGATTCATGACCCAGAGTGAATCCCCCTTCTACTTCCAGTTTCCCGACAGCTTGTGACCTGAGGAAAGTTTAGCTAAGAATTACTTCACTCCAGCATATATCCTTATTGTCACTGTGTACAGAGGTGACATCTCTGGAGAACCTGTTCATTATCTGTGTGGTGTTTTTTTGTTTTTGTTTTTTTTGGGGGGGGGGGTTTACAGAGGGTGTATACTTACACATTTCCTTTTTGTAGCTGCAGTTTCTTCTTTTTAAGGCACACAAGGATACACAGCACACACTATTAATGTAGTGCACAACTATTATCTGAACCACACACACCCACACCTTGTGACTAGCCAGACAGCCCGCCAGTTTCATGAAATCTTTCCTATCTGATGCAGCCTTCTTTTGAACACATGCGTCATTCAGAGTTGATATCACGCAGTCAGCGTCTCAGCAGCTTCCTGATTTTCTTTTAACCCCTCTGGATGGACTGATTCTGTGCAGATCACAAGCTGCAATGTTTTTTGTTTCCATCTTAACTTGTCAGAAGCAAAGGAAGAAGAATTATTATTGTAGAAACATCACTTTATCTTAGATTTTTGCCCTGAAGTAGGCACCAGTATTGTATTAACTCCATGCTTTTTTTTTTCAGATGGTCTCTGACAAAAATGATTAAATGGATGCTGACCACATAGTACAGATGCAAAGTATTCTTTTAATTGGTGTGTGTAGCGCAAATAAGTTTACATCATCAACACAGGATTTTCCCAATGGCATTTTGCAAATTAAATACATATTGCATGGACATAACATTTCCTTAACAGCATGACAATTAACACAAAAGAAAATAAATATTAAATACCATAAATAAGCTTGCATTGACACTCCAGCCACTTTTACACTTACATTTGTTTTTCTCAGGAAACTGACTGTGTAAGGCCACCTTCTGGTCATCTTCAGAATGCATTGATTGGTGTCCTCTTCGTGCACACTTTGCTTTTTAGATTCCTCAGTTCTTTGGAAACGTTTGACATGAAATCCTTGTAGGTCTTCAGGACCACGCAGCCGTACACCTTCTGCTGGAAGACGTTCTGAGCTGGTGGTAGTGTTGTCGGCCCCCCTGCCGGCTCAGGTATGGGCAGGTTTGGGAAGAGGCTCTGATAAAATGTGTTCATGAAACTGGCCAGACTCTCAGTGCGACCCCAGACTCTGGTGAGCTCTTTCAGGAGAGGGCTGCCAGGCGATTGTAAGTCTGTCTGCTGCTTGTATACACGTTTAAAATGTGGGAGGAAAGCTTGGAGATGCGTGTAGATGCTTGCTATCCTTGCTGGGGGATCCAGCCCAGAGATGTTGGGATCAGGGATGTCGTTCACCGACACCTTGCAGAAGAGCTCTGACATTTCCCCTTGAGCGGCTTTCTGCAAACAAGGGGAAAAAGGAAAGGAATCAGCCTACATAGCTTATAAGTGCACAAGTATATCTGCCAGTATACTGGTAAAGTAGAGCAGTTTTGTGCCTGTAGTCTACTCACATATGTCTTGATTAGGTCACCAGATTCCTTGTGTACAATTCTGGTGATCTTGTACTGCTGCAGGAGATTCCCACACTGCTGATTCGTGCTTAATGCCACAGTTTTTGTTGAATCAACAGTCATAAGCAGCAAGAGAGACAGTAATGCTGAGGAGAAATGAGCTAGTCAGTTATGGTTATCCTTCATCACATTGGTGGGTTTAAGGGGATCTTTGTATAAAAACCAAAAAAGAGATTTTTTATTTTTTTATTTTTTTTGTACACCAAATATGTGGCAAGTAAAAGCTTACGGTGCCATTTCCAGTATTTTATGTAGCATTATGTTAAGAAACTAATAAGCATTGTAATTTCCTTTACTGACGCAGAAAACGACAAACTGCTCTTAGTTTCACAACAGCTGTAAATCGCTAAAAATAACCACATCCCTATTGGCAAGAAAAGATGCAAAAGTGTTCAGTGCTTTATATTTAAAGCACAAAAAGGAGACAAAAAACTATAAAACTTACTTGCTGCTGTTTCCATGAACTGCTGAAAATGCATATTCTTTACATGACCATTCATTCTCCTCTCGGTATCACAAGCAAATTGTGCGGACTTGTCATAATCACACTGCTTTAAAACTTTTTAAAGACAGAAACCGCACATTTGTCAGAGGAGGAAATGACGTGCACTTGTGAGGCAACCAAATTTCCCAGAATTTCCTCCTTTCGTTCACATGTGCATTTTTTTTTTTTTTTTTATGCCTATAACAAGCAAAGTGGGCAATGTATCTAAATGCCTGCTCCCTTAATAGGCATGTTGGGGCATTGTCTGCTCGTTAGGACATGTATGGACATAGGGTTGTGGCATTTAAAATAGGACTTCCTTTTTTGTGCATGGAAAATAAACACTTATATTTATATATTTCAAGAAAACTGAAAGAGTAACCTGCAGAATTTAGAAAACAGTGTCATACATGAATGAAAATCGTATCAGGACTGAGGTCAACCTACACTTTTCACACATGCTCACCAAATTGCTTCCTACCACTCTTTAAATGGCAAGGGTGAGAAACTTGTTGGTGCGTGGAGGTAAAAGTGAGCTCATCACTGTCTGTGCAAAGCTGGGTGTTGATAATTTTTTTTGTTTGTTTGTTTGTTTTATAGATCTGAAAAGAAACTTAACGTTTCTTATTTTCTATGTATAGGCATTCACGCAGGAGGAGTCTGATATTACTCAGGATCTTTCAGTTTGTGTTTAGCTTTCAGTGGCTTCGCTGGCGCAGGCATGACCCCAATGATTCAAAAACAAAACCACATGACTAAAGTGTCCTGCTGCTACCTGGCAAAGTTCACTCTGACATAACCAACAAATTCTAAGGTAAGTGCTGAGGAAATGTTATTTTTGTTTGGACCACAAATGTGAGGGGGGATTTTGAAAGCTGTTTCATATTGGGGTTTTTTTTCTACCTTCTGTTAAATTTGGTAAATGGTTCTCCTGAATTTCATCTCTTACTCCTAAATCTCCTCCTAAGACCACGTGTCTTTTTGCAACAATGTTTTCAAGCGGGTGTTTGCACAGGAAGCCGGCAGGGTCACAGGAAACAGGTCACATTTCTCAATCACAAATTTTCTGAGTGCGTAAAAGGACTGGGCCTGCTTAGGTAAAGCATGCGATCTGTTGCATGGGCTGACTTTAACACTGGATGATCTCACTGTGACATGCTAGTGTGGCGTGTCTTCCAGAGATTTATGAGTAAACATTAGACATCTCACAGGATGGGAAAATATGAAAATAACATAAACTGGGCTTTTTTTGTTTTTGTTGTTGTTGCTAATCGTACAGTCATCCCCCAACACTTCTGCTTCGAGACACGCAATGACGTCTTTTTGGCTCACTATCTGCATCACTAGGTTTCATTTTAGGTCAGACTGCAGGTCAGACTGCAGGTCAGACTGCAGGTCAGACTGCAGGTCAGACTGCAGGTCAGACTGCAGGTCAGACTGCAGGTCAGACTGCAGGTCAGAGTGCACGTCTGCAGGACAGAAAAGTGGCAATCTCCTCTGAGGTAAAAGCAACAGGTAAACTTTTCACTGAAAGTGAAAAAACCTCATTATGAGCTGGCACCATCCCTTTGTTTTCAATACCCTAGATGTATTATTGCTGAACTACTGACTACTTGAGAAAAATGAGGGGGAACTCAATGCGCCACATCCCTGTCAGCACTACTTCAGGTAAAATCTAACCACTCTTTTGCCACCTTCAGGGGGTTTCCAGTTACCCCAGGGGATTAAAGAGGGGTTGCGGCGAGACTGGCAACTGCTGCAACAGATGTCGGCAGTTCAAGGAAACTACAGTGAGATTCCTGCTCACATATAAAGTAGAGGCATGCTAAAAAATAAACCACACTCACTACCTAAATCAAGCAGGCTTTCCCTGAAACGTGAGGAACCTGGACGCTCTGCAGTGCAACTTCTCTCTCACTTCTTGCTCCAACTTCAGGTTTCTGTTTTCACAAGTTAACAAATGTGTGTTTGCGTGCTTGCAACCTACAGTAAATTATGATAAACAGCGTTTTATTTGATTTGATGTAGGTCACTGTGGTTATAATGCACTAAGAAAAGCAAAAGTGAGACGATTTGCACCACATGACAAAGCTTTACAAGAAAATTTAACCACAAATGATAAGAAATGCACTCTGACATGAGATGCAGGATGATAATTGAGAGTCCTTGTTTTCAACAGAATCTCTTTTATTTTTGTCTTTGAACTGCACAGGAAATGGTGAATAAAGTTCTTTAGGAAAGTCCCCTTTATTCTAACTAAATACATCTTTCTAGTAACATAAAAGTCACACAAATTGTAATTGTTTTGCAGCTCACAAACAAACTTATTCAAGCACCCCAACAGCACTTTTAAAAAAATTGTGTCCACAAAGCTTTCAGTTACACGTGACCAAGACAAAAGGCCTTACTGCATATGAGAAATGCTGTCATCAAATTTCAGAAAGTTCATGAAAACGTCAAAGACTGTAAATCTTAGTGGAGCCGTTCGACCTTAGAAAACAAATTCAGAATTTTAGGTGTAAAACAAGAGCATTTAAGTGCTATTGCGTTCCGACGCTGAATGCCATCGCGTTCGTCTGCTGTACCCCGGGGCGCGTCTTCTAGCGTTCAGCCCTGTGAGGAACATAACCAAACATTAATACAAGTTGTGGCTCTGACGTGAAAAGAAAAGAAAAAATGTAACAGGGTTGCATTCAAGACCACCACATTAAACAATGTTCCAAAAACTGTCCCATGATAAAATAGCATTTATTTTTCCATACATATACTTAATTTTCTTTTAAGAGGGTTTCACTGCATGGGGTACTCTAAATATGTCATGAGTGTTTGAAAAACATAGTAGTGTTTTGACTCAGAGTGGGGGCGGGGGTGGGGTTCAAAATGCTTTACATTTTGTAAAAATCAATCGTCTCTCCGAGACAAAACCCACAAGGCTAAAAGTGGCATTAGAAATTAAGCACCAAACAATTACCCTTCCATTCAGTAGAAATGGAATAATTGTGCAACCTGTTCAATGACCATAACAAAGATGGCAAAAAAAGATGTAAATCTTATCATTAGACAGTAATAAGGAGAATGCAATCCAGACCCACATGCTGTTGTCTGCTGTTGTGGCGTCGCTGATACTGATATATGAAGTCTGTGGTTCCATTCACCTCCATCTTTACAATCTCAAAGTCTAGTGATTTGACTTAGCAATATATTGAGCTATTGTATGACCATTTCTCTATATTATAAAACGAAAGAAAACGAAGCAAAATCTTTATCATTAGACTCTGGTATCAGTAACAGACGAGTGTCTCTGTATATTCTAGCTATGTTCTCATGTACAAATATTGATATCAAAAATTATACAGCACAATTCTCACCATTTTCCTTTACAAGAACTTTGATTAGTGAACATTAAATGATTCACAAGTTTAGATGAACTCAAAAACAAAAATGGTGCCGGCCTCAGTAGGTAAAATATAGATATAACAAACACGTAACTAAAATCTGCTTCAGGCACAACTTAAATAAAGGCATTTGTGAAAATTATCATATCAAATATGGCGCTTATGTCCAGTATCCATAGGCCTAAAAAAATGCTATGACCACTTTTATTTACAAACAGCTAAAATCTCTGACAGATTCATGCTTCACTTCACAACCTGAATTTGTCCTTAAAGTGCATGCAATAATAAGCAGTTTTACCAAGTGGGATCTTGAGTTGTGATAAGATAAATGGGCTGATCAAGCTTATGCCAATCGAGTCTACATATCAAATGAAAGAAAAGATCAGAACTGCCTAGAAAAGTGAGGGTCCACAGTATACTGTATGCATAAGCACAAAATGGAAGTATGACTGGAAAATAAAAAACTCTGACTATCCAGTGACCCCATACAGTAATATTCACATTCAGAGAATAAAATAAAGAGAACAAAATGAAACTAGTAAAAAACAAAACAAAACAAAACCGAAACAAAGCAGCTTAACACCACGGGGGAATCCGTAGCTCACATTCCACAATGTCCCTCCATGTAACACACATTAAGCCTCATATGAACAAGATGGGTTTCTACTTAAACATACCAAAGTGCCCATTTTACTAAAATTTCCTGATTTATTCAATTCATACCAAAAGGAGAAAATGGCATGGAGGAAAGAGTCTTTTATTTCAGACACATAGGCTTTTGAGTTACACTGACTAGGTTTGACTTTTATTGACACGTTGTTGTGTAGATTCTTTTGTTTTACCCCCCCACCCCCCTTTAAAGTTTCACAAAAGAGGCTCTCATTGCACGCAACACCCCAATTCAAAGATGCAATATCTAAGAGCAATGAAAAGTAATCCAGTTTTGTCACCCTGGGTGGGACAAACGGTCAAGTGGACGTGAAAAGGGCACGGATATGTTGTCCTTTAGAGATAAATCCACTTTCATCTGTTGTCTTCTTTGGGGAAGTCTATAGATCCCAGGCTTCCAAAGCCGAGGCTTCTACTTTCTGTGTCAAAAGCATTCATTTCTCTGTCCTGACGTTCCAACAAGTGCTTAATCCGTTCGGTACGTTCCTTCTGCAGTGCAGCCAGTTCCTCCTCAATCTGCAATGAAAACACAGCACGGTAAATGGAATTAGATTCATTTTACCTATTTTTTTTAATCTGTAATGGCATTATGGTTGGAGATGCAACAAGCACTGGTTGTTGCCTATATGCAAAGGAGCTAAAGCTATCCAAAACTTGGAATCCAGCTGCCTCGGTATGAGCAAAGGATCAAAGCTGCCATGAGTGAAAAAAAGAAAAACGTTGACGTCCTTGTAAATGGTTAAGTTATAAACATAGTGAAAAATAATGTAAGTTTTGTTACATAAATCCACTGTATCTGCTTTTTTTTTTTTTTTGGTAAGGTCAAATATGTAAAGGTGAAGATCCCGTAACTTACTGCACTTTGAGGGGAATTGAATTCGCCTCAAAATTGAAAATTGAAGCATTTCTTTTATTATAATTACAATATCCTGTACTGAAGAAAAGTTTATTTTTCCTCATATATGCCGTCAATCATAGTTCTTAGTAAGAAATTGAATTGGAAAAAAAAGTAGGAGTAGGAGGAAAACTGGAAATCAGAATCAACCGCAAAAAAATTCAGCTGTTGCATCACAATTGTTGTCAGTAATTTCAACATGTTTACTGTATATAAAGATGTTGCAGAAACCTATTACTACATTTCCATTAAAATTCATATTTTTGTTCCTTTGATGAAAAACTGGGTCTTTATGGGTCTTTTTGGCTTCAGGTTCATATTTAATATCAGAAAACTGTTGGGTAGTGAAACACTTGCCCATTGAAGGCAGTGTAGACAATCAAGAAAACACGACCAAAGGAGGAAAGAAAAACAAAACAAATCACACAAAAAAAAACACATAGGAAATGAAAAAGTAAAACGAAACTAGATTAAACTAGACATGGGAAGAAGGCATAGGAGGAGATAGGGCACAATGGGGGAACAAAAAACATATTGGAACCCAGAACTGAAGATTCATAAAAGTAAGGAAGTATTTGTAAATCAAAATGTAGATATTAAGCAATCTAAGAAGCAAACAGAAAAATGAAAGAAGGTCCTCAAAGGTCCAAAAACTGGAAACTCTGGGTCCCATGCTGGGTATAGACCTGGACATTTCAGAATTCCTTCTGCTACTTCTATCAGCAGTCACATCATCAATAAACATTAGTGACCCAGTGCTACGCAGCCTTACATGCACGTATTATAACACTGGCTTCACCATGAGTGACAGAAGATGTGGACGGCTTTGATTCATGAGCTGTTTCTCTCACTCACCCACACTTTTCTCTTCCCATCATTCTGGTAAAGGTTAATCTTGGTTTCATCCGTTTTATATGATTTTCAGCACTGTGCAGGTTCTTTGTGATGTTTTTTAGCAAAGTGTAATCTGAAGACTTCTTTTCTTAAACATGAAAATAATTCTATCACTGCCCACTTGATGGATTTATTTTGTTTTATCAGCCTAACCCTGGACTGCACCTCAGCATGATGTTTATTTTACAAATTATGGTCCAAGTTATTGTAAAATAGATGATAATGGAGGGGATACATGTGTCTGTGTAGTGTCTTCTTATCTTTTCACTGCTCACTTGTGTTGTCTGTTTTCAAAAAAGTAAAACACCAACAGACAAAATGACAAACTTCAGTTTGCAAAAAAGAGAATCCAGATGCCGTCATTTATGTACAGTGTGTGGCATTTTGTCATTTCAAGTATCAGACAAATAAAAACCAGAGAATTTCCTCCTTGGCCTGAGGAGGCAGGAATGTGTGACCCAGGTTTAACTATCTAAAACAGTACTTCATTCAAAACTATAAAGGCAGTTTCACAGTGTCATTAGAAGAAGACTCAAAACAACCACCAAATTATCTCCACAAGATGTTATGAAATTACTTTTTATGATCTTTCAGTTTGAACCAAAAGTGGTGAACAGAACAACGCTGTCATCATTAGAGCCCTGCCATGGCATGGCTTTCCTATATTATGAATAAAACAATAAGCATATTTACCATGTCCACGGTGCACTTGACTACAAACTAGAGTGCCACTGTTATGCTGTTGTCAGCTGATAAATCGTCTCTCTGGACGCAGATCTGTCTACCTACCTATCTGGCATCATTTTCATAAAATATGGTATCATGCTGGATTTATTTTAGAATAGCTTTGATGCTAAACGTACCTTCTGTTCAAGGTGCGCTCTCCGTATGGAGACCTTCTGCTCAAGTTTCTGCTGCTCGCGCTCATGTTGGGTCTCCATCTGTGACTTGGTTTTTTTCTGGTAAGCGTCCAGGAGTTCCATCTCTTGCTTCAGCTGCTGCTTCAGAGCTTGGCACTCCGTTTCCTGCTCCGCTTCTAATCGCATCTAGAAACACGGCGAGACAGAGTTAGCGACAAACATCAGCGAGTGTGGCTGTTGAAATTCCAGGCTCTTGTGTTGACGAACGAGCCCCGTTTCAACTGTTTATAACAAACTGCTGCGTACCGCTTGTGAAGCCATCATCTCGTTGATGCTCTTCTCGTACTGCTCAGCCAGTATGGCCAACTTGCGTGTCTGCTCCTCTTTCAGGGCCTTCAGGATGGTTTTATGGTCACCTTTGGGAGACACCTCTAGCTGATGGTTCCTAAGAGCCTTGTACTGCTTATTCTGCACCTTACATGTGTCCTGAAACTGTTTTTTGATCTGCATCTCCAGTGTCTGCAACAGAGATAATGATTGAATGTTAGTCTCGTGCTCTTTTCTTGGTATATTTAAATTTAAAGCTGGTTCAGTTGGTTGTTCATAACTCAACTGAATGATTAGGCTTGTGGATTCAAAGCCTGAAGACTGCTCAGTCTACCCTTTCAAAGTATACAAAATAAAGTTGTATGAATAAATAACTAATTTGTTTGCAGCGCCCTTGAACATTTATTGTCATAAGTGGGCTTCTGACCACTGTGCTATTAGATAAAGAGAGACGAGATTTAAACTTGTGAACACGCATGTTTTGGAGGAAGCAGTTCTCATGGCAACGTGTTTAATGGTTTTCTACAGGTGACTACCAGGCTAAATATTTCAGTCAAGTTGAATGCTATGAATGCATTGCACAGCACTTGCAGAGCTTCAGCGTAAACGCATGACTTCATCAGGTTATTATGTAGATGTTCATGGGATGTAAACTCTCCACCACACAGAATAGCAGCAAAGAGTAAATCTCGGGCACCTTGAGGTTTCTGGGCTGCTGTCGTTGCTCCAGAGTGTGTTTTCTGTGCAGTTCCCTTTGCCGACGGTTATTGTACTCCTCCTGGTTTTCAAGCTCTGTCTGGTGCTGCAGCCGCATGAGTTCGATGCGCAGCTTCTGGAGCATCTGCAGCTGCCTGCGCTCCAGGTCCTGGGTGGACTCATCCTGCCGGATCATCAGGGCATGTTCCATCTCCTTCTGGGTCCTCTTCTTGTTCAGCTCCTGGGACACGAAAATGGACCATTTTGAAAGACAGTATTAATTAGTCATATATCTTAATACAGGTTTTCTTCTTTTTCTTTTTTAATTTTTATTATTTTTGATTTAATGTTAAAACTTCTATTTATCTCCATGTGTTTCTCTTTGCTGAAATACATGAAAACTATGTAAGTGACATGCAGTTACAATGCCAGTACTTCCCTGGGGAACCCTTTTCCACTGTGGAAGAAAAACCCTTGCACCCTGTACAACACCTGGAGTTTTGAGTTTTTTAACCTTTTCTTGGTTGTTATCATTAATTGTTAAATTAATGCCTCAGAGTTTTTATACCGTTGGTGAGTGCACCAGAAGATATCCCTTTATGAATGATATCCTATGATCTATAGTTGTCATTAATGTAAATAAGTATACATTATCCAAGAAATTACTAACAGTAAAAATAACTCTTAGTTGCTTCCTTCAAGCTACGAAAAGTTGTTGTGTCCACAAAGCTTCTGAAAACAGAAACAATCATCCCAAAAGCGGGTGACTGTGAACGCTGTTTCATGGTGGTATAGTCTTCTTCTTTCGGCTGCTCCCTTTAAGGGTCGTCAGAGTGGATCGTCTTCCTTCCTACCCGATCCCTGGTATCCTCCTCTGTCACACCACCCCTTTGCATGTCCTCTTTCACTTCCTCTGTGGACCTTCTCTGAGGTCTTCCTCTCTTCCTGCATTGCAAGAAGAGAGGAAGACCTCACTTCCTGCATTGCAAGATTGAGATGTCCAAACCCTCTCAAGCTTGACTGCCTCTCTAACTTTGTCTCCAAACTGCTCAACCTGAGCGTTCCCACTGATGTACTCATTGCTAATCCTGTGCATCTTGGTCATTCCCAGTGAAAATCTTAACGTCTTCAGCTCCAATGTTTCCAAACCATACATCACAGCAAGTCGTGCTTTCATCTTGTAAACCTTCCTTTTCTTTTTCGCTGCTATCCTTCTGTCACAAATCACCTCTCACACTCATCTCCACCCACTCCACCCTGCTTGCACTCTCTTCTTCACCTCTCGGTCCGTTGCTTTGGATGGTTGACCCCAGGCATTTACACTCATCTACCCTCTGCTCTTCTCTCTGCAGCTTCACTGTTACACCATCCTCCCTCTCATTCACAGTCTTGGTGGCACACAATGTTACGTAACATCAGGATATTGTATTACTGTACCTCTCTCAGTTGCTCTTGTTCAAACTCATGTTTCCTGAGCAGACTCCGGCGTTTCAGAGCCCTGCAGCTGCGATCGTACACCAGCCTCTGCTGGGCCAGCAGGTGAGCTTCCTCCTCAGCCTGAGAGCGCTGCATTGTTTCTTTGTGCCTCGACAGACGCTCCTGCTTTTCCTCCTTGGGTATACAAGGGTCATTGTCCATCTCCTGCAACGCAGCACAAACCGTGTGAATGGACTTTGGACAAAGCGAAGATTTTCTCAAAGAACATATGCTTCGCGTGCAACTTCATAAACTTATTTGTTGATGATATTTACTTCCTTGATCTTGTCTTTGCAAAGCCTGTATTCCTTTTTCTGGTTTTCTAAGAAAGAAGTCAGCTCTTTCTTTTGCTGAGCAACAATCTGCTGCTGGATCCTCCTCTCTTCTGCTGCAACTGACTTCATCTGTGAAGACACATTCAAATAATCAGATTATCACCTTTTTATAGAATCCCTTCCTTACATAGACACAAGTGCAGCTCAGAGTGAGTTACATCACTCTTTAGTTTTCATCTCATTCACAAATAACACCTGCTGCTGAGGCTGTACCTCTTTGTCTGTTTGAGCAACATGGCGTTTGGCCAGTCTTTCCAGCTCAATGTAAGTGTTGTTCGCTTGTGTCTCCAATTCCTTCTGCAGCCGGAGCCTATGCTCATCCATCTCGGCCTTTAGCCTGTTCTCCAGGGCGATCAGCTGCTTCTGGTGCTGTCGCCGCATGCGCTTATACCCAGACATCTGCACCCGCAGCTCAAAGTCCTGCTCATGCTCCTCGATCTACCTGATGCCCTACATGGAAGAATATGGGAAGCAGGAAGTGAAAGAAATCGAGCAGCCAGAAACATGAAGCCACACATCGTACAGAAAATACAAACTGCAAACTAAAAAGCAATCAGAAGCCAGATCAGCAAAAATCCATAACAACATCTTTTTGTTTGTTTGTTTAATCATCCGAAATTTGTAAGATGCCACTATTCAGGAATCAGCACAACAATCTAAGATGACTGAGAGAAAATTCAACCTTTTACAATCAGCGAGAGAAAAAAAAGCAAATAAACTAAATCTCACTGGTAAAAGACATCAAACGGTCATTTACATGGATTATACATAAACGCAATACACACACTTCAAAGCAGGGGCAGAGAGGGAAGCTGAGGATGGAAAAAATGACATCCATTAACAGGATCTGGTTGCCATGACTACAGATGTACAGCTGAGAACACAGACATCCCTTCCCTCCCTCCTCATCCTCGCGCCGCCAAGCACGCACACACAAGCTAGCGCACACACGCACGCGCAAACACACTCGTATTTTTATTGTTATTATTGTCAGTATTATTTGCTCTACGCAAACGGCGGTGAGAGGGAGTTGCGTACCAAAGATGCTGATTTGATGGTGGCAATGTGTTCACAGATCTTGCAGTCGAGAGACCGGCTCTTGCGAGAAGTAGGCCGCAGCTCTGGCCTGGTGTCCCTGTGCACAGCCTCATCCCTCACGCAAGCATGGTCCTGCAGGGAGGGAGGAAAAGGGGGAGATAGTGGGGCTGGGTACTTCCCAGGCCCTCCGCACTCGCTGTTTCTGCTAGAGCCGCTATTACTGCCGAATCGCCCTGAATGCAGCACAAATCCAGCCTTAAATGCATCCTTCCCCTGCTTGTTCCCCCGCTACTGGCTGCAAGTCCTTGCTAAGAGAGAAAAGGGCATTGCCAAACAATTGCAGGCAGCACCGAGAAGGCAGCCACTAGATGAAGTCGCTCTTTTTTTTTCTTTTTTTTTTCTGGCGTCCCCCTCTTTCCAAAGAGGAGGAACCGAATGGCTCCGGTGGATACGGGTGAATTATGCAATGCCTACCATTGATGATAATCGGAGAAAGACGGCACAGAGATGTCTTTTACAGCCACTCTTCTTTTCCGTTTCACAATGCCAGAGATGTTTGGGAGGAAATATAGTTTCCCTGCGTTCCTGTGGTCGCATGTAGTGCCATATTTGAAATGCTTTGAATCAGATAAGGCACATCCAAACATGGTTTTCCCTCGAATATGTCGCCCGACGATCCGTTTGTATTCCACTCGAATTTCTGTCCTACATTTACAGCGCACTTGGTCATGGTAGGTGGTTCTGGTGCCTTCTATTCATCTCTTTGCTCTGTCCCTCTTCTACACTCCCCCTTCCTTTAAAGAGACACCACAATACTACTGGCACATCTCAACACTGGTGAAGTCATTTCACACAAGAAGAGATGTTCAAACAAACATGCATATGCAGGTGTTCGTAAAGGTACTCGCATCAGTTATTATCATCAGAGCATCTTCTTGAAATCATAATGAAGAGACAGTGGGGCATTAGACAGCATTAAAATTCTATAATGACTTTTACGCCTTTTGAATAAAACTGTCTGATTTTATTTCATCGGAAGTAAATGATTAATTATGTTAATTATTGCAACAATTCTGTAGCTGTCTGTAATTTGCAGTATAGGTAGAATAACGAAAAACACTGATGGGTGCTATTATTCCTGCCAGTACTCCATGTGGATGCTGGAGGGAGACAGAGGGCATAGATTTGGGGGTGGGTGGGGGTCCCTCTCCGTGGTGCTGAAGGGGCAACCTTCTAGAGAAGAGGCGCCAGAAACTGCAGTTCCGCTAGTGGCCACTGGAGGCTGGCTCCAGAAGTGAGTCGACCATGGGCTCCCGTGTTAAAATATTCAACTTTAGAGCATTTAAAGGCATGATTACCACCTGGTAAAGAAATCAGTTTTGGCCTCTGTGAGTAGTTTTCCCCTCATAACAACTCTAAGGCTGGTGATAGAGAGTGTGGAGATGATCACTTTAACTATGTGTCTGAAATCTTCAACCAATCTAGGAACCTTATCTCAGCCGTTTGTTCAGCCTAACGGACAGACTTTTTGAAGTAATTTTCTTATCATTCTGTCAGCCACCAACAAAATTCTGATACAATCCTGGAAGTCTGAGACACCTCCAATATTCAATAGGTGGCTAAAGGGATACACTTAGAAATACAGCAGATGTAGATAGAGCAGGTGTCTTTCAGAAAATTTGCTTACCAATTATCAGTCTAATCGCAAAGTTATATTGAATCCTTTTTGGTCCTGCATATTAACAATAACAGTTGTACTATGAACACTTTTAATTCAAGTAATAATGTATCCTAGTTTATATGTGAGCCTCCGACCATTGTTCAGTTGGTTTTGCGTACCTTTATCTTCTAGGTCTGAAAAAACAATAAAGAAATGGTTAAAACAAATGACTGACACGTGCCCTAACACTGGCAGGCGTTATGACCTTTATACTAATACTAGGGCTTGATATATGCTACAGACCATCCAGGAAGTTTTTACTTTTTATAAGCCTGTTAAACACTAATGTGTCTGTGCATTGTAACCATACAGTTTATGAATGCACTTTGCTAATCAAGCTAGCTAGCATTATGCACTGTTAGGGGTGTGGCTGCCATGTGTGAAAGAAGTGAAAGATGAGAGACATTTTTTCCTGTTCATTTGCAGATGCTTCCAGTGGTTTAGTGGTTGATAAATTTGCTTAGAAAGCAAAAGGTCAATAGTTTACTTCCACTTTGGAAACTCCAAACGGGTTGCGTCAGGAAGGACATCCGGTGTAAAACTGCCAAATCAAGCATGCCTATGACAAGGGAGCAGCTGAAACAACTTTTAGAGTTTATTGGTAAAAGACCCCAAAGATTTGGCTGATTTGTTTCAACTGTTAGTACATTTTGTTTTTAGCTTGTTTTTTCTAAAGTTAGCATCATATTTAATATTTGAATTACGCATGCACTTTGTTACCAAATTAGCTACATGTTAGCATTAACACTGGGTAAATCCCAGGATCTACCCTTCCCTCCAATAATGCTCATGATGGAGTTAACAGACAATCATGCCAGAAACCAAACTCAAGTATTTAAAAAAATGGTAAAAACAAATATGAGTGGCAGCCGATTTCAATTTTATTTTTTAAATGTTGACTTTCTCTAGTTTTGAACTGGCTTTACACATTGGTAGTAAATGCTAGTAAATGTACAGTTCTTTTCACAATTTGTATCTTAAGTACATAATTAACAGTATTTTCTATTTCAGAAAAAGCATGCTGACTGCCATTCATCTGTTTCTTTGTGACACTTGCTTTGCCGCTTTCTACTGATCAAATGACGCTCACAAAAATGTCAAAATCTCGTACTTTCACTGTGCCTTCTGTTTTTTCACCCCAAACATTTGTCATGTAGTATTCTGTTTCAACAGTAGATGTCACCCTTGACTTCAGCATGGGGACAGACTTTTTTAGACACTTTCAAGTCAAGATGAAACTGCCACTGTGTTGTGCAACTCTTACTCAGGAAAAAAAGTCACACCCAAATGTGTGCAGAAATATTTATTGTAGCAAGCTCAACATCACCAAGAACATGACAATGACCACACGTGTTGTCGGGATCTATTATTGCCGAGCTCTGAAGGCTGTGAACTGATGGAGAATTTTAAATGGAGTCTATGAGCAACACTGCTCGTCTCCTATGAACCTTTTGGTCTGTAGACCATTAAAGAGAAGTAAGTCTGTCCTCCCACAGTATGAGCTAGGGGATGTCCCTACAGATTGCCTCACAAATTGCACACACCGAGCCATCACATTGCCGTAAGAGTCCCAGATAGCAGACAAATCTTGGCTACGTTTGGGGGAGCCTGACTCACCCTAAGTTGGCATGGCCCTATCTTAAATGGACTGGAGAAGAAAAGCAACATTACACATCACTTTTTCCATTTAGTGTTGGTGAATAGCTTTATTTTATTTTTTTATTTGTAGCTTTTGCTCGTTATTTTATGTATGTATTATAAATCTTTTTAAAAACGAATACTGTGCAACAAGCTTCTAACCTGGAAGGTGTACCCTGAATAGGTGGTCTTAGAGAAGAGCTGTTTATAAATCTCTACATGATGAAAGAAGTCTCATGAGGAGGAAATAAATTCCCTAATGTGACTCTAAGTAGAACTTCAATGCCCTCTTGTGGACTGTTTGACAAGAATTTTCTGCATACCTTAAGAAGCACAGCTACTACAGATTAAACTGATTTCTCTTAATCCTGCAATCTGCCAAAGTAAGAATGCATTTATGAACAGAGGATGATGTTTGTTTGTTATTTTCATTTGTTAGGGATTATGTGATATCAGGACAGCTTTATAATGCTGCTTCGTCAAGAAACCATCATATCAAGTTTCAGGTCAAACTCATAAATCTAATCTTGATCTGAAAACATATGAAGTGTCACATTATTATGTTGAACAGTATGAAATGTTCTCTAGTGGAAATAAACCAGCCTGGTTAGTAAATTTGCAATGCTAGAACAATTACGTTTTCTCTTTAGGTCAGTGCTGCAAAAGTTGCTACACATAACCTGAGCTACATCAAGCTCTGCTCAGTGGTTTCACTTTTGTTCATCCTGCTTCTGTCTGATCTGAACTGGTATGACAATCTCATTGCCTGGGATGCTGCTTGATGTCCCTGGCACGGGGGCCTCTACAGACAGGACTCCATCTGCAGACAGGGATGAACTGATCTGCTGCAAGTCAACCCCCTGTGGCAACCTTAATGAAATGAAAAGAAAGTTGGTAAGCAACTAACAGAACAGTGTATTTGTAACATATATATGTTTAACACATTTTGAGATACTAATTAAATAGATTACAACCTATATATATATATCAATGAACTCTATTATTGCTGCAGAATCTGTGTATGTGTTGATATCCTCACCTTCTGTAAGCTATACATACTGTTTAAAAGTATTGTGCCACCCCTCATTTCTTTATATGTTCCTTCCAAGGAATCAGATTTCTGAAAGTGATCTTGAGCAATAACCATCCAATAGTTTCTGAAGGTCTTTCAAAGTTTTTCCTTTGTTAAGCTGGTATATCTCAGCCTATAGTGTGTAGTGTGTCCTTAAAAAAGTTGAGGAAATTGAAAAACCGGAGGACAAAAGAAGAAGTGGCAAGCATAAAACACCGTCTAAAGCAGAAGACCGGTATCTGAAAATGATGTCCTTAAGAAACGGGGAAAATCCAGCGAAGACGAAACGTAGGACCTAATGGGTGCAACTGATCCTTCTGTTGATTTGCGTGTTCACCAGAGCCCGGACCTAAATGTTATTGAAGCAGTGTGGACTCATGTTAACAGAGAAGAGAACAAAAGGCAGCCAACATCCAAAGAAGAGCTTTGAATGTCCTTCAAGAAGCCTGGAGAACTGTTCCTTAAAACTGCTTATAGAAATTCTCAGAAAGCTTCAAACTGTGTAGACAGATAAAGGTAGTCATACTAAATATTGACTTCCAAGCTCATTCAATGATAAAAACTCTGAACGGAAAACTCTTATATACTTAATGTTTGCATGCATGTTTTAATGGGGCTGTTGTCCACATCGGCAAACTCCATACCCGATACGCACGTGTTTTTATGGTGTGAAGATATGAAGTTTCACGTGCTTCTCTGTGCTGAGGTGTGGGGTTTTTTCTGTTCTCAAACTGCTCTCCTGTAGGAGCTCAGTCTGAGAGGAGTTCTTTTTCTCCTTGTCTCCCCTCATGTATTGTATTTCATTGTTTTTCTTACCATCCTACCTGTTTCCGATCTGTCTTCCCAATGTGATGTAATGCATTTATGGTCGGAAGGGGTCAAATTTTCACTGCAGGTAACATGCACGTGTAACATTGCATGTGACAAATAAAGGCTTGATTGATTGATTAGCAAATCACTACAGCTATTTCCCAATTTCCAAGAAAAGATAAATAGAAATGACTTATAGTGTTCTCTGACAACCTACTTGTATTTACGAGTGAAGCACCTTGAAACCAGTCCATGCTCATCCTGTCTTTCTTCGTGGGTTCCTTGAAATGAAAAACAAGCAAACAAAAGTGTTTTTTACACTTTTCATCATGTATTTCATCATAAATCTATCTTATGATCAAAAAAACTGACACTACCTGATATTTGTAAATAGCCCTCTTTGGTTGTGATTGTGATCTCTTCAGGCGAGAAGTGATTAACATCCAGATTAATCTTCCAGCTGTTTGGCCCTGTTTGGATCTCTGATACTCCACTTGTCAGTTGTCTCAATCCCTTCTGGTCTGTGGGTCGCATACCAATAAATGGGGGGAGAAGGGGACTTTGTGTGTACCCTGGCCATGAGAAAGATGCCAGTC